TGCACAGACAGAAGAAAAACATTGTGTTCCTTCAAACTTTGCAATAAAAATTATGTTTATTTTTCATCTAAATGCAATCTACAATTTTATTAGAATTTTGCAAAATTTTGTCCAAATCACGTTCAACCAAAATTACAGGAAAATCGCCGTCTTGACCCCAGTCCCCCCTAAATGAATTCTTTTCACTCTGGGTAAAGTTCAGGCAATGCTGGGTACTTCAGCTAGAGATTAAATATAAATTACTTTATGCAAACCGCATAAGCCCAAAGCATAATTTTAGTTCTGAGAGGTTTGTAAAAGGTACTGAAGTAATAGAATTCATTGAATACAATAGTCATACAAGGATACAAATTGCAATTATTGTGTGTAGTAATAACACTTGATATATACAGGGTTATCCAAATTAAACTTCCCCAACTCAGAGGCATGTGCAGAGTGCTGTATGGGTCATAATGTGATGAAATTTTAAAAAACAGACACTTCAGATCATGCACAAAAAAATTAGTACAAGAAGTTGCTGATAGGTGGCGCTGTAACACTAGTAATGTGCATATTGCAGCAACATGATTTGCAGAAATAAAGCTTCTGCACAACGCATCCAAAAGACGAGCCCTACAAAAGTGGAAGTCAGGCCTTGCACATGCAGTTGTTTCCAGCTCGCTGATGCACAATGGTGACTTTGAAAGACAAAGCTCTGTTAGTGAAACTTTTCTACCAGAATGACGAGAACTCCTATGCTGCGATAAGAGCATTCCGTCGGCTGAAGATCTTACGCCAAGGACCAATGACACCACGCGCTCTACGAGACATGATGAAGAAGTTCGAAAGAACGGAACAGCTGGGAATTTTACCAGGTAGAGGACGACAGGTTGTGGAATCTGCACGTGTAGAAGACGTTGCTTTAGCGGTCGTGACCCCACTAGCCAATTGCCACATGGTGTTGTTTCTCGTGTTGTTGATATGCCCTATACGAAGTCTGGCGTGTGATGCTTCGAATCCTCGGTTATTTTCCTTACAAAATCCATAGTCGTCATCAGCTGTCCGACGGGGATCCTTTAGTTTGGGAAACATTTGCGTTGCAGTTCCTTGCCAGAATAGAAAACGATGCTGCTTGGCTGTGGAACATCCTTTGGACGGATGAGGCCCATTTCCACCTGAATAGTCAAGTGAATACGCACAATTGCCGCATTTCGGCAAGTGAAAATCCGCACGCAATCCATCAAGTGCCCTTGAACCCTCCAAAGGTTACTGTATGGTGCGGTTTCACTGCAACAATCGTCATTGGGCCTTATTTTTTTGAAGAGGTGACTCCAACAGGGTTCAAAACCTGCTCTGTCACAGGAAAATGGTATCAGGACATGTTGACAACGTTTGTGATCCCTGAACTGCAAAAACGTGGCCGCCTCCAGGACACGATATTTATGCAGGATGGTGCACCTCTCCATATTCTTCGTGGCATTCAACAGGTGTTATGGGTGACTATTACACCTGTTGAATGCCACGAAGAATGATGCACGTGTGATCAGCCGCTGTTTCCCTACAGCTTGGCCTCCCCGCTCGCCTGATCTCACGCCATGCGACTTTTGGTTATGGGGATTCTTAAAGGATTGGGTCTACCGAGAACACCCAGCAACCTTGGCACATCTGAAAGACGCAATTATTCGACATGTTCGTGGAATGAATGTGTACTTACTGCGTTCCGCTGTGGAACACACTGCTTTGCGAATGGAAAGAGTTGTGGAGAACCACGGCACACATATAAAACATGTGTAGAATGTCTTGTTGATCTGCAGCGCCACCTATCGGCAACTTCTAGTACTAATGTTTTTTGTTTAATAAATCTCGAGCGCATGATCTGAAGTGTCTGTTTGTAAAATGTTATCACATTATGACCCATACAACACTCTGCACAGGCCTCTGAGTTGGGGAAGTTTAATTTGGTTAATCCTGTATATAAATGACCTCAACTCACACTTCAACATGATATTAATCTAATAAATCTCTTCCTCCCTCCTCTCCAGAACTTTAAAAACTTAACAGAGGGGAAGCAGAAAATGTTAAATCCTAGCATTGCAGTTCCTACTTAGTTAAGAGTACCAAATCATTCAGAGATTCTCTAACGAACAAAATTCAAAAATTTTATGAAACACTTTAAGAACAAAGAGAGCAAAAAAATAGTAGTTGAAAGGATAAACTCCAGAGATTACTCACTAAAATAAATAATGGGAGACAAAGAATATATTTCATTCAAAATAGTGCATTCTGATAATAAAAAATCATTTGCTGTAAATAACGTAACACAAATCAACTATTTAAAGAAATTTCTACCATGTTTAGCAACTGAAAGAAAGCTATATGCCATTTTTCACCTTTAGGAAAGGTTAGAGACTGTTACTCCCTTTCCAATTGATCAAATGTCAATACTCAGCTTCATTACTAGTATTATTATCCAAAACATGGTAGCCCAATACTTAAAATTTGATGTTAAAAATAATATTTAAACCTAAAATTTATCTGCTTTTTACCAAAGCATACTGCGGAAAGAAAATAAATTGTAGAAAATTGTATGAAAAACTTTTAGCTGCTGATAAAAGGAAATTTGTAGTAACACTTGTAGAGGCACGGGTATATGAAATTAAATGTAATAAAAAATCAGATCAGTTTTCTACTGTTCAAATGAGCTTGCAAAGTGGTTTCATCAATGTACAGGAAAGTTCCAAATGTAATTCATGATAACTGCAGAATTTGGCACACCCTAGCAGACTGCATTAGTTAACTATTTGACTCTATGCTATAGAAGTGCAAAAGTTTTCAAAATTATTTGTTGTTCTAAAATTTTTTAAATGTGTGATAAGGACTTATGCATATACAGAAAGTCGTTTGCACTTTATGAAAACTACTTTATATTTTAATTTTCTCATTAGCATTTTGTGATAATGATTTGGCATTTGCAATATAATCGTCACTACAGTTTTCGTTTGATTGGAATGCAAGATTTATTTTGGAAATGGTTCCTAAAATTGACAGATAGCTCGAAGGTTAACTAAACGCATTTTCATCAACAAATTCTAAATTGGAGTAAAAATTGAGGTTCTTGCATTTTAAAGAAAGGTATTTTAAATATATTAAATATGAAAGGGAAAAGAGATCTAGCCGAAAGTAAAAAAAAAAAAAAAAAATAGCCGCAAAACCGCATCCTAAAGACTTCTCGAACATGGATTAATATCAAGAAAATGAAGTCTCTGATCTGAAAAGAAAATCCTACGACTCAAAGATCCATTGCATTTGGACTGGAAATGTCTTCTGGACCGCAAGTAAAATCATTCATGAAAATTTGACGTTACAAATGATATTTAAACCTAAAATTTATCTGCTTTTTACCAAAGCATACTGCGGAAAGAAAATAAATTGTAGAAAATTGTATGAAAAACTTCTAGCTGCTGATAAAATGAAATTTGTAGTAACACTTGTTGAGGCACGGGTATATGAAATTAAATGTAATAAAAAATCAGATCAGTTTTCTACTGTTCAAATGACCGTGCAAAGTGGTTTCATCAATGTACAGGAAAGTTCTAAATGTGATTCATGATAGCTGCAGGATTTGGCACACCCTAGCAGACTGCATTAGTTAACTATGACTCTACGCTATAGAAGTGCAAAAGTTTTCAATGGTTAATTAAAACTAAAAAATGTCAAATGTAAGGCCAAAATTAATTGACTGTACTATCAGCAGAATATTTTCCGTTTTGACGGCGCAAATCTCGCCAAGTATGCTTTGTTGGCGACAACATAAACATAAAAAATGTTAACATATGTTAGTTCTAAGAATTTTTCATTTTGAAGGCATAAACATTTTAATATCGTTTAAAAGTTTGTAAGAAACCAATAAATAAAGACAAATTTGTAAGACATTAATTTAAGAATGTACTATGCTTTCATGGTTCACCATCCTGATTCGCTGGTTCATATCACGTGACCCAAGTGATCTCATCTCACGTAATCTACGCTACAAAAATCTAATTCTGTCAGTTATTATCTACATTATTTTCAAGTTAAATCTTAATTGGGAATACAAGTGTAAATGCAAGAAATATTTCAATTCGTACGAATAGCTTCTCTGATTATTACCATGTGCTTAAACCACAATTTGTGCTTTTCGCTATTCGAAGAATTGGTGAAATCAATCCTCATTTTTTTGCATCCTAACTTTTGCCTTTTCTGGTGTGATTGCATCTTAATTACCACGCCTTCGGGTGAGCGGTGTGATTGCATCTTAATTACCACAAATGGCCTTAGGGCATAAAATTGAACTATCTGGTAAAAATTCTATGTAATTCTATGCCAATATTGAAAGAAACAATCAATCTGATAAGAAATGGCTACGATTTGTTTTGAAAATGAAGCGTAAAAGATTACCAGCGAGGATATTCGGTTCGGCATCACTTGTAGCATTATTGGCGACTTTATCACCTGCGCCAGCAAAACGGAAAAGTACCCAATTTTTTAATAAAAAATTCCAGCCTTATATGGAACGGTCATTAATATAGTTGAGCGTCATGTGGGCAAAGCCTCTCGTCACATCTCTAAGTAAACTGCCACATATTTGGAAAAGAATGAATGAGGGGAAAAAAAAAATATTCCATTCAATGAAATATCTGTGAAATAACCTGATACTTCTCCTAGGAATATTTTTCAGTTTGTTAAAACAAGTCTCAGGAAAACAGCATCCAAAAAGGACTTTTGAAACGAACCAAGAGGAATGGGATAAAACTGACATGAAGGAGATGCTATGAAAAAGTTTACTTTCATAGGAAATTCTAGCTACAGTTATAAACCAAGAATAATGACTATCAGACAGAAGCAGATCGCTACAAGAATACGTCGTTTATACATAAAAGTTAATTATCAAAATTGTTTTCATATAATGCGGACTTTCTGTAAATACAATATCACAATTCATAAATACAAACATTGTAAAATTTGAATGGAAAACACAAGGGTGAAAAATAATTATTTATTGTAAGAAAATCTTTTATATGAATCTCGCCTTTGCACATATTTATTTCTTTTAAATTGTGTATAAAATTATGCACTAAAGAAATAACCATACTAGTACAGAAGTACTTTTTTAAAATTCATGATAGAAAATACTTATATAGCATCCTATCAGTTTTTGTCAGACATAGTAATGAAATTCAGTTACAGTTATAACAAATATAAGTAATAATAGATGTTCGGGAAAAAATGGCATAATAATTTTAATTAAATATTTGCAATATTGATTCATCAGAAATATAATATATAAACCATTAACTCATTATTGCACATTAACTCAGAAATATATATCATACAGAAAATACATATCATACAGTAAATTTAATTCAAACAATATGTAAACTTCTGATTTTTATGAATATATTTTAAAGCCTATAACTGTCTTGCAAAAATACCTCAAATCAGTACTGCAGTTTTCACTTGAATGAAACACTGTCAATATCATGACTTGAAACATGTTATATAATGGAATTTATGAAAACAGCTTTTTCATGGCATTTGCATAATACTGATTTAATTTCTGAACTCTGTGTTTAAGAATCTGAATTTGCTTCACAACAGCTTGATTATTAGGCTCCATGCGATGAGCAGATGAAAGATCTTCATCGGCTTTTTCATATTCTTGTAACTGCACATAGGCAGCTCCTCGCCTATAGAGAGCTTTCACATTTTCAGGTTGTATTGACAGTGCTTTAGTAGAATTGATTACAACAGATTCATAATTATGATGGCGCATTTGGCATGCTGCAATATTAAGGTAACATGCTAATTTAAGATCTTTGAAATCCATATCTCCCTCCTGCTCAGGTGGTATATCATGTTCCAAAGAAATGACATACTTGAGGGCAAATCCAAATCGTCTAAATGCATGCTGAGAAGCTCCATGTGAATATAATTCTAAACCTTTCTGCTTATGATGATTAGCTCTACACCACTTTTCTGTAACACTCATTTCCCATGCTTCTGGTTCATTTGTATATGCCAAAAGTTGAAGATGAATTTCAACTAAATTATTGGAAATACTCTGATTAATGACACTGTGAAACTGATTAGTACTAACACCACATCCATTTGATTGCTTTTCCTCAGAAGATGAAGGAGAAGATTCTACAACTTTTTCCTTGGATTCATTATCTTCACTTTTAGCCTTAGATGCAGTATTATTTTCTGGCAGATTATTTAATTCATTTCTGGAGTCCACCATTTCATTATTCTCAATCTTCATATATGTTGCTTTAATTGAGCTCTCAATGGGACTACCAGAATCATTGTAAAAATTTGGATGCTGAAATATCACACGGCATTCTTCCTGTATTTTCATTGTCCGAACACAGTCCTCGATTACTCGATCGATGTAGTCATCTATATCACCAATAATAATATCTTTTATATGGAAATCATCTAAATTTGTAACCAAATTCATCTCATCTGCAGTTACTTTAATCTTACATGTTGAACCATCCCTAGGTGTATTAAAACCATAACCTTTTGTTAAAATAACTTTGGAAAACAGTACGTCAGGTGGTTTTCGGAAGACAGACATACTTGAGATTACAACTATCTGTAGAAGGAATACACTTCTTCTGCAAAAAATAACCAAATTAATGAAAATAATATAACATTATAATCAAATAAATGTTTTAGCATTTTATGAAAAGACAGATAAAAATTTTATCCTCAAAATGATATTTCAGAATACAATCATTATAACATTTCTTTATATAATTGCAAACCTGCTTGAAATTTAAAAAACTTGTTGAAGGAAACTCAAAAAGACTGGTTTTCAAGGACATATACATGATTTTGTTTCTTCAAGCATGGGCCAAAAAAATTGAAATTCACAGTCAATAGCACACAGTTATCAATAAAGTTAAGTAAATATAAAGCATATAATGATTGTATTTCTTTGAAAATAATTTTCCCCTTCCTCATAAATATGCCAAACAATGAGCAAATTCAACTTTTTCCAGAAATGAACTGACCATTTTCAAAAACACAGTAGTGCATAATAAATCTATCCATAGACAGAAGGTATTATATAGTGCAGATCCTAAACCCATGACCCAAATTGGTATTATAAACAATACGAGCCCTGGTATTATAAACAATGCGAGCCCTGGTATTATAAACAATGCTTAATATATATAGAGAAAAGATTACTTAATAAACTATACCTTAATAATAAAGCTAAACTATAAGTCTGTTATGTTTTCTAATGCTAAAATGTATAATGTTTTACAGCTCTTTGAAAAACCTTTGAATTAAAAAAAAAGAAATATATTTTTTAATAAACAATGCGAATTCGAAAACTTCATCAAAAATTAATATTCTAAGAACACGCAGCAAAAATGCAAAACGATGCTAACATACAATCACGTGGCAATGTATCAGAACACGCAGCCAGATTTTGACAAGATATCTTAGTTGATTGGCAATTTAATCTCGGGGGACACTGTAACAAAGTACCAAAATATTTATGCACGTTTTTATCAATTTATCTAAAATTTATTACAAACAATGAAGACAAACGTGATAAGAAGTCTTTAAAAATGTAACCAGAACCAAAATATTTATGGACACTTTTATCAATTTATCTAAAATTTATAACAAACAATGAAGAGAAACGTGATACAAGGATTTTAAAAATGTAATCACACTGGTCATGTAGAACCCTAGACTGCAAGTTAGGGTACTTGCCCCTCAAAGGACTTCAAGGTCAACCTCTCACACAGCTTCAGTTCAAGCAGTAATTTCGCACAGTTCACATGTACTACTATTGTACTTTCTGTGAAGAAGTTTTTTTTTTTTTTTTTTTTTTTGCATCATGCAAATGAATGATTTGAGTTTTGAACAATAATGCAATATAAAATTTAATAGTTAAAATAACAAAAAACATTTTGTTCAGTTCTCACATTTCTGATTTATTAAAATTCTAGCAAAAACATAAAATTAGAAACAAAATTATATTAGCCATGAAGCAGTATCAAGATAACCATAAACGATATATATATATATATATATATGTATGTATATTAATTATTACATAATTAGGAGTACCTTTTTTGGTCAGCCTTCATTTAAAATTAGACTCGCACTGCATGGACTTGGGAAACCCGTAAAAACTATATTTTTTTTAAAAATCATTTTCATCCTCAGAGAATTAAATGTTTAAAAAGTGTTGAAATATATCAATACCATATAAACTTTATATGGAAATAAAGATAACACCATTATTTCATTAAAATTTTCCTCATAAAAATTTATTTATTTCATATTATTTTAAGTAATAATGATAACAGAAGTAAAAGAAAAAGCATTTAATTATTTTATATGTTTTTACATTCCCTACAGCAAAATATCTGTTGAATTTTTATTTTATTTTATTGACTTGAAAAACTCCTAATGGAGTTACTTGGAATCCCAACATTCCACTGAACACAATTTTTGTAGGCAGCTGCTTTTAGGGATAAGAAGGATAATCAAAATACACAGTGCTGATTTTGATACTTAATTTAGAAAATTTGAATGTTTTGTTTTCTTAGGAAGATACATAAATTTGTATATTTAATGCTATTACCATATGAAATTGAAATAACTGGCCATGTGACCCTAAAAAAAGACAATTTCAGATAAATGAATAAAATTATGGAGATTTTATTAATCTTATTTAACCCAGTGTTACTCGCGCCAGGCTTCCGAGGCCCGATCAGTTTGTTAAAGCTATGTAAGCCCTACCCCTTAATATTGAAAGGGACAACACCAAGTCTTGCTGAGTAAAAGGTGACCTTTGACACAAAGGACGCGTTTCCGGAATTTTGTTTTACTCTGTTTGGACAAAAAGCTATTTTTCGGGTTGCTTAGGCCCGGTGCGAGTAAGCGTGTTTCTAATTTCGAGTTTGAAGTGCACTGAGTTCGCAGCACAACATGGCTCGCAGATTAACATATTATGAAGAAATTGAACGATTACGTACTTTGCTAGATGAAGTATCGACTGATGATGAATCTATCGAAGGTGATGATTTATTGTCTGATTGCGCTGAAAGTTTTAGTGAGCATAATACATCATCTGACGAAGAAATCAAGTCTGATGAAGAGGACACTACTGATTCTAATTCAGTTGATTGTTTTGTCAACTGAATTGGAAAAGATGGAAAGACAATTTGGAAGAAAACAAAATTTCGTCAAAACGTTCGAACTTTATTGCAAAATATCATTTCAAAGTCGCCTGGAAATGTTGGAGTGGCAAAAATGTAACTTCTCCTCTTGAGTCTTGAAGTTTATTACTGGACGATCTTGAATACGATTGTCACCTGTACAAATATATATACTGACACTATCAGTGACAGCTTTCAGAGAGACCGCAATGCTAAAAAAACAAAACTCTCCGAAATTAAAACTTTTATTGGTTGATCTTTACAATATGGTAAACTGGTAGTTTGGCGACATTTTGGAGGTGATAAAGGTTACTACCTGGGACTTTGGTAATAATGTGAGCAGTACTCAGTTCCGATTACGCATTATTTTGTGTGGGGGAAATGAGAGATCATGGGATATGTCATGTGATATTAATGGACGAATTACGGTTCTTTAATCGGAAGAGATCATGGGATATGTCATGTGATATTAATGGACGAATTACGGTTCTTTAATCGGAAAAGGGGGGAATTTGGACAAGTATCTGTGGATGTATATTATTTTGTATTAAGCTTTATTGTGTGTTGTGTGAAGTAGGGTTGAATAATTTTGGGATTGTATGGCGCTGTCTAAAGTGAATTCGAAATTTTTAATACGTTTGTGTGATAATTCAAAAGAATTGGTTGAATGGTGCATGAGTGTAGGTTTAATTGCGGATAAGTATGAATGTCCAAAATGTGGGAATGAAATGAAATTGTGTGAAAGGAAGGATATTACTGATAAGTTTGAATGGCGGTGCAAGAAATCTGGTGAAAATGCACATTTTGTGAAACGGAGTATAAGGAAGGGTACGTGGTTTGCTGAAAGTCGTTTGAGTATGGGTGAGATTTTATTGATTTCTTATTATTGGGTGAATAGATTGCCAGTTGACTATTGGATTTTGGATTTAGAAATTAGTAGTAGGACTGCAGCTGATTGGAATTCTTTTTGTAGGGAAGTGTGCGTGGAATTTTGCGAAAATGATATGGGTATGCTTGGTGGCATGAATGTGATTGTGGAAATTGATGAGAGTAAGTTTGGGAAGCGGAAGTATGAGAGAGGTAGGAGAGTGGAAGGAAAATGGGTGTTTGGTGGGATTGAAAGGGGTAGTAATAAATGTTTTTTTAAGGTTGTGCGAGATAAAAGTAAAGATTGTTTATTGAGTTTTATAAAACAATATATTTTACCGGGTACTATAATTATTTCAGATTGTTGGAAATCATATCAATATTTGGAAGATGAAGGGTTTAAGCATCTTGCTGTAAACCATAAGTATTATTTTAAAGATCCGGAAAGTGGTGCGCATACCAACACAATAGAGGGCACCTGGAGTGGTATAAAAAGCACCATTCCTAGGCATTGCGACAAGGAGAATTTTGCTTTTTATTTAGCGGAGGAAGTTTGGAGGAAAAATTCGGAAAAAAAATCGTTCAGTAATTTTATTGAATCCATAATAAAAGTGTATCCACCATGTAAGGAAGATTCGGAAGAAGATTAGGTTAGTTAGACTTTGTTAAGAATGTGAGTAGTATTCAGTTCTGATTACACATTATTTTGTGTGAGGGAAATGAGAGATCATGGGATATGTCATGTGATATTAATGGACGAATTACTGTTCTTTAATCGGGAAAAATCTGGGAATTTTGTATTTGGCTTTATTCTGTGTTGTGTGAAATAGTGTTTGTGAATTTTTGGATCCCATGGCCGTAAGTAAAGTGAATTCAAAATGGGTATTTAGTGGTATTGAAAAGGATAGTAAGAAATGTTTTTTAAGGTTGTGCGAGAGAGAAATAAAGATGTTTTATTATGTTATTTATTTTACCTGGTATCTTGCTTTGAAAGATAAGTATGATTTTAAAGATTCTGAAACAGAAGGAAGAAAAGTGTATCTGCCACGTAATCAAGATTCTGAAGAAGATTAGGTAAGTTAGTATTTTTAATTATTTTTATGCATTGTTCTAAATGTAAGGTGGAAAGGAATTTGGTATTATTGGGAAAATTGTTATTAGCAATGATTTAGTTTAAAGTAATTAGGATTGTAAGGTAATTTTTATTAATTTAATGTATGTGCTCATTTATATTTTAAGTAGTGTTTTTGAATTTAATTATATTTTAATGAAATGATAGTTATTTTGTGAATTTTATGCTTGTAGGAATTTGGTATACTTTTAAGTTGAAATAAACATGCATGGAAATAATTTAAATATTTGATACTAAATATTTGTAATGCTTGATGTATGAATTCGTTGGTGATGTGTATAATGTAATAGATGATTTAGAGGTAAAAGTTTTTGGATATTTTATTTATTTTATATGTGGAAATGTTCATATTTGGTAAAGGGTAGGTAAATACTTTTTCGCGATCATTAGGTAATTTCATATATGTTCTTTTTACCGGGTTTAAAGATTGAGAAAATTGTCATGTATTTTCGTGAAATTTTTCTAATTTATGAGAAAAAAAGCAGTGTACATGGATATAGTGAAGAGTGTGCGCAATGCCATTTTTGTGCAATTCTGGGATGTTTTTTTAAGTAAAAATAAGTCGACGTGTACATGGTTTAGTGATATTTTAATTAAATGATAGTTATTTTGTGAATTTTATGTTTGTAGGAATTTGGTATACGTTTAAGTTGAAATAAACGTGCATGGAAATAATTTAAATATTTGACACTAAGTATTTGTAATGGTTGCGGTATGAATTCGTTGGTGACGTTTATAATATAATAGATGATTTAGAGGTAAAAGTTTTTGGATATTTTATTTATTTTATATGTGGAAATGTTCATATTTGGAAAGGGTAAATACTTTTTCGCGATCAGGTAATTTCATATATGTTCATTTTACCGGGGTTTAAAGATTGAGAAAATTGTCATGTATTTTCGTGAAATTTTTCTAATTTATGAGAAAAAAGCAGTGTACATGGATGGATATAGTGAAGAGTGAGAGTGTGCGCAATGCCATTTTTTGTGCAATTCTGGGATGTTTTTTTAAGTAAAACTAAGTCGGCGTGTACATGGTTTATGCGTATGTGTTATTTTGAAAAACGCGTAAGGAGGATGGTATTGTGCACTTTTTCCCAATTTTGCAGTGAATATTTGTCATGATTAAGCAGTTTTGTTTGATAAAATTTCTAGCATAAGTGTAATTCGGCTAGTGGATTGTTGGAAGAAGTGTTCAGTAGATAAAAAGAAAAGAAACATGTCTTTACTTCGTGAAGACAAAATGGCGGCGGGGAAAAAAAAATAGAGGGTTGCTGTAGGAGAGTTGGTCGCCAAATTTTCGCCAAAAAATCGCCAAGTTACCATAATGTAAAGATCAATCCTTTTATTAGATTACTATATTTATATTGTATACATAAATCATCCCATGTGCATGTGAGAGATTTATGGCACACTGATGGAATGGGAATAGAAATATTTCATAGGACCATGTCTCATAATCGTTTTTTGTTTCTTATGAGATGCATAAGATTTGATGGTGTTAGAATCAGGCAAATGAGAAAAGAAATTGACAAACTTGCCCCAATAAGGTATGTATTTGGCTCATTTGTGCATAATTGTCAGGAGTTTTACACAACTGGATCATATGTTACAACTGACAGAAAACTCAAATCATTTAGAGGACGCCGTTCATTTCGACAGTACATGCCAAAAAAGCCAGCTAGGTATGGAATAAAGATTTTCGCTCTTGTTGATGCAAGAACTTTACATGTAATTTAGAAGTTTATGTAGGTACTCAGCCCCAAGGCCCGTATCATGTAAATAATTCATCAGTTGAAGTCGTCAAAAGGTTAACAGAAAAGTTAAATTCTGGGAGAAGTGTAACAGTCGACAACTGGTATACTAGTTATGAACTTGAAAAATATCTCCTTCAGAAAAACATTACTCTAGTGGGCACCCTAAGAAAGAACAAGAGGGAAATACTGAAAGAGTTTGTGAACAGTAAAAATCGTAAGGTGCATTCACCCTTGTTTGCATCCCATAAAGACATGAGTTTAATGTCGCATGTTCCTAAAAAAAAAAAAAAAAAAAAAATAAAAAAAAATAAATAAATACAAAAATTTGTTAAGCTCTTATCTACAATGCATAATGACGACGCTATTGATCAAACAACAGGTGAGGCAAACAAACCTGAAATAATATCCTTTTATAATTTGAAGAAAGGAGTTGTTAGTGTGGTGGACCAAATGTCAGCAGCGTATTCAACTGCAAGAATCAGCAAAAGATGGTTAATGGTTCTATTCTTTACACTGCTAAATACTGCTGCAATCAGTGCTCGAGTATTACTCCAATGCTCAAAACAATGCTCCATCCTTAAAGCACAGGAAGCGGAGTCAGTTTTTGAGAGATCTTGCAACAGATTTGCTGAAAGGCTACACAGCAGAGAGGTGCGCTGTACCATGTCTCCCTCGACATTTGCAAGAAAAATTATCTTCCAAGAGCAAAGAACCTACCGCTAAAAATCAAAGGAATTGAGAGAAAAAGGTGCTATATTTGCCCAAGTTCAAAGGACCGAAAATCTAGGATAAGTTGTACAAAATGTGAAAGAAATGTCTGTGGAGATCATTCTGTTTTAACATATACCAATTGTACATAAAACTTGGTAAGTTTTTTTTAAAAAATTCTATACATATATTGAATAAAATTAGAGCTCTAATTATTGCTTTAAATTATGTTGTTAGTAAATGCTTAATGGGCTGGTTAATGACCTGAATAAAATGTAAATCCATAAACGGGCCTTGCAGGCCTGACGCGAGCACTTGTGTACATACGATTAGCGCGAGTAACGCAAAGTTAAAAGAAATACAGAAACTTAAAAGGCAAATTGTAATGTTCATTTTCAATGAAATCATAGGGTAATAAATAACAGATATATGCCTTATGAGAATATAAATAATTAGAATAACAATTGACAAAATCAATGCAGTAAGGCTTTTCAACTTTTAAATGATACTATAAGGCATTTGGTAGAATAAAAGGTAAAAGTTTACAATTGGGTGCCCTTTGTTTTTACAAAGTTAAAACTATCATGGTAACCAGAAATGAGGTTTCATCGCCAAAATTAAAAAAAGAAAAAATTATCGCTAATTGAAGGGGCAACCAATTCTACGTTAGAGCCGAATAAAAATTAAATGATACTATAAGGCATTAGAATAACAATTGACAATGCAGTAAGACTTTTCAACTTTTAAATGATACTATAAGGAATTTGTAGACATATTCAGCTGTCAATGATTATGCATGAAAAATATTCCAGAAAATAATTATTTTGAATTTATGTGTTGGAACTGTTCTTATATCCAATATTCAACAACACTCAGTGGGTAAAATGAAGAATTGCCCACTTATTTGTTTGGCGCCTTTTACAAGAGTAAGAAGAATTGGATTTTTGTTAATTTTCTTTGACTTTTTAAGTGAAAATAGGTCGATGTGTACATGAATAAAGTCAAGGGAGAGCGCAATGCCATTTTTGTGCAATTCTGGAATTTTTTTAAGTGAAAATAGGTCGATGTGTACATGGATACCGAGTATGTGCAATTCTTAAGAAAACGTGCCAGGCAATGGATTCTGCACTTTCCCCCACTCAGTTATTTTGATTCAATCGGGGATGCCTACTCAAGAATCGCCCTGACAGTACATCAGGAATTATGGGGAAAAATAATGATCTGATACTTACAGGATCTTAATTTGCATGTGTTTAACCATACATGTCACTTTCATTCAATTATATTTATAGCTTATTTTATCTCACATTTTATAAAAATAAGAGCAAACGTAAAAAAAAAAAAAAAAAAAAAAAAAAAAGATATATATTCCTGCCAATTTGTAAATGGCATTTGATTTAACAAATATAAAAAAGAACATACTTTAGAAATTAAGTAGCTTAACAGTTCTCTTACATAATTAAGAATTCTGTACATAACTAAGCACTACTTCAAGTTGGGAGATAAAAAATTTTAATTTTCTTCAGATTATTTATTTAGCAGTTTGCATCATAATGTCGCCAAATCCCGTGTGTACCGCATACTAGAATTAAACCTAAGCAAAACAAAAAATATTCAAAACAATATAAAAGAGGAACTTAAAATAATTTTCATACAGTATTTTAAATTCGTACCTGATACACATCAAGTTCTAAATAATTTTTAAACTTACGGTATTCAAACAGCAATACAATATTTTAACACCAACTATGCGCAGTTCCAATTAACTTTGTGAAAATAAAAAAATTCCGAGGGATACAAAAGCAATCCTTTGGTAACATTTCATTTTGTCAGCGTAGCTATTTGACTAAACTTTCATTTGTAGTTAGTTATCTGTACGCTTTTCTTAGCACACAAAATTCGAATTAAAGTCACTCTATATATTACTAATTCGCTTAACACTACCCATAATTTTCATTCATGAAATATACGTGTTCTACTAGAAAGTGCCTAAATTTTCAACTGCTTCTCTTTTTTTACTAGGGGGGAATGCTTTTAAACTTCCGACTTCTAGTAAAACCTTGTTTACAGTTGTTTGGCCTCGGCCGCATTTGCGTTGCGTGCAAGGCCAAGAACAACTTTCTCATTAAGTGGCTTACTGGTTGTTTAGTGTTATTTTCAATAAAGCTCCTATTTCTCTATATTTTCGTGAATTTTCACTTATTTCTACTGGCTACTTGTGATGAATACTTGATGGCTTGACTGTTGAATAAGCTGGCTGTGTTACCGGACCTTTTTTTAAAAGCATATTATAATAGAAGGATAAGGATTTGTGTTCTGTTTATTAGAGATACTGAGAAAGATATTAATATGAACAATCTAAAATTCTAAGCAATAAAATTTTGCAAAACGTATGAAACATAATGAATACGGAAACACGCCACGAAAACCGGAAGAAGCCCAGCTTCACAACGGCAACGAAAAAGAATTATCTGGCATCTACAGTAGCGGTAAACATTGCCGCGTGTTTTGATTATTAATGCAATTTAATATTTATGTTTAAATACGCTGGATTATGTCATTTAAATTCTTCAAATCGAGTTCTGCGCGACGACACCTTCCAAATGTACTAATTAATATTCAGGCTATTGACAAGTGTCTAAAACCTTGTTATTTATGGGACGCTTTTGCTGCCAATATAGTAGAAATTGAACTTTATTTAAAGGAATTGCGTTCTATCGGTTTAATTGAAAAGAAACTGAGCGTTATTTCAATATGTGATACAGCGTTAATTACAGAATATGAAAATTTGAAGAGCCATATAGATAGATTTTGTGTTGAAAATGTGTACCTTGTTGACGTGTCAAAATCACGAGATTTACCATCACTCCTTCCCGCAGTGGAGAAAGAGAGAATCTTAGCACCGATTTTAAGATATGCTCAAGATTTGCTATCTAAATCATTCGATAGTAGCAACAATGACAAAATCTTACATATCGACGTATCTATATGTAACGTGACTACTTTATTTGGAACTCTTTTAGGGTATCCTGTAATATATTGGTACAGTCCATCAGATTCAGATTTTACATGTTTGTCAATGCTACCGCTCAAAGTTTATCGCATTATGTCCACAATTACTCCCAAATTTCATTCCACAACGAAGGTCAGTTTTCATTCTACTGAAGAATTATTTTCATTTAGCATTCCTGAAAACATTTATGAGCAAACTCATCATGTGGTAAATAAATGGTTTGAAATTTTGTCATTAAAATGCAAAATTTCTAATTTTTGCAGTTTGCAAATGACGCAGAATATAGTCACACAACCATGTGTTTCTATGTAATTGTGTAAATGTAGTGAGAATGCAGCATATGTAAATCTAATTCATATTTTACAAAATACCATTAATTTTTTATTTTGCTTTTTTAGTATTTCAGATATTACTTGAATATTAAGATACTGTAGAGGGGAAAAATTATTTCCAATATATAATTCTATAAGTTCAGTTTTTAATTTTGTTACATTTTTTTAAAAATGCAACTTGCTTTTAATATAAATATCTCTTATTAGAAGTTTTTGCAGTAATTTCAGGGGGGAAACTAAGAAAATATATTTAAACTAAAAGTTTAAATTTTTCTATAATCAAGTTTAATGCATTTCTTAACATAAAACTAGCAAAGCAACGACCTTGTGTTTGGCATAGATTTTAGTCAGGACTTATGGTTTTAAGCCCACCAGCGGCTGTGGTAAAGCACTGAACACTGGTAGCTCAAACTGGGATTTGAATCCTGGTGAACTGGTTGTCTGGATGGGCGTTTTTGTGATTTTCTCCATATATAACATTTACACAAGCCAGGTTCCCTTAAAAGGTACTCCACTGAGGCATCCGTTCTTTTTAGCAGATAGGCTCTTGAGTGTGTTACCGTAAAAGAAATCAAACCTCTCGATTTTGAGGGCAAACAAAAGCAGATCTGTTTTCATCAGGAGCAAAGAAGTCTCTGCAGATTTCTTTGCTCTTGATGAAGAGTGTCCTATGCCTGGTTGCCCTCGAAGTTAAGAGGCTTGACTAAAATCTATTCCAAACACAAGTTTGTTTGTTGTTTGTTGTTTTGCTAATTTGATGTTTTACTTTGGCATGTTTTTCTTCTGTCTTGATTATTAAACTTTTCAGTGCTGAATGTTTTCCCTATGATAAAGCAGTGTAAAATTAATTCCATTCAGTTCCTAAGCATTGAGTCAACATGCCATCAAATTTTGAGTTTCTGTAGTATTTTCAGCAAAAAAATTTTTTTTTGATTGTAATTTACAACAAATTTATAGGTTTGGCTTTGAAAGCATTCTTTTACTGAATGCATAATAGTTTCAGGTGTGAAATTGTTCAAGTTCCATTGATAATTTATATAGCTATTTTAAATTTTATCACTAGTTAAAGAATGAATTATTTTATAATTTTGAGTGCTTCAGGAAATTTTTTTCGCAACTTTGTTCTAACACTTGTTCAATTTAAGTGTATTTCAAAACTGTATAATTCGGGTTTCCTGTTTGATGTCAATCATTTGACACTGCTATTCTGTATTTACAGCAAGTTTGACTTTCATTAGGATTCATAGAAAGTAACATATATTTTCAAGTCATTCCATTTATATTTTGTAGTTAATTATCATTATTACAATAAATACTCTAGTACTTTTGTATTAATGCTACCACACTAAACATTATTTTTAATGTAATATTTTTCAAGTCATTCCATTTATATTTTGTAGTTAATTATCATTATTACATAAATACTCTAGTACTTTTCTGTTAACGCTACCACACTAAACATTATTTTTAATGCAACTGAAAATTTTGCTTGCTAACAAAAATTTTGTTGCAATAATCATATAAAGGAAAGCTGGTATTTTGAAATAAAAAGAAGTTCAATAACAAAAAAACAAACAAACAAAAAAGGTAAAAGTATATTTATGGGTACCCCTTGGCAAAAATTGGTGATTTTTGGCGGTACACGGATACCGAGTTTGTGCAATTCTTTGACCTGTTATTTTGCCATTTAGCTCCAAACCACTACTCAAAGACAAAATAACAAGTTAAAGAATTGCACAAACTCGGTATCCATGTACACGTCGACCTATTTTTCACTTTTTAAAAAAATCAGAGAATTGCACAAACTAGGCATTGCGCACTAACTTGACTTTGTCCATGCACACATCGATCTACTATATTCACTTAAAAAGTCAAAGGAGCAGCCAACAAAAAAATATATGATTTCAGTAAACTACATTTTAAATCAAATAATGAAATAACATAAAAAAGGAAATTCACCTTGGCATTACATAAAGGAAATATCCACTTACAATTATTTACAAATTTCCCTGTCTTCAGTCAAACAAAATTTCTTAAAAGCATCCAAAAACTTCCTAAAATTATCTGAACTTGAATCCATGTATCGGCGTCACCATATAAATTCACAAAAATAAGAGTAAAAAATATCCTCCATAGTTCCAAACTGTCCAAAAAATAGCTACTAAGTAAATCTTCATTTACACAGCAGTCAGTTAAGTTTAGTCTTCCAAATTGTACAGAAACTTCAAATTAATCTTACTACATTCAGCCATTCTACTGTCTAAACAACAAAACAAGCAATGTACTTCCTAACCAACACACACTACAAGCCCTTACAAAACATCCCCATAATTCAAAATTTACTGCAACCGATTACATCATAATAGGGTTTCCATAACATTCAACTACTCAGGTTACCATTAATGAAACAATAACTTAACGATAAATGAAACAATAACTTAATGATAAATGAAACAACAATTTCGCAATAATTCAAGGGGTAACCTTCAGTTTACTCTAACCCAAAAAATATATGTATGTAGAAATCTTTTATGTGAAGTACCTCGTTTTATTTCCCTTGTTCTATGACACAAACACCAAGTTTACCACCAGCAGCACTTTTACGGTGTAAAGCACAAAATAAGAAGCTTACTTCCTAACTGACATTCAGGGCCAGATTTACATATAAGATACACAAGCTATAGCTTAGGGCCCCCACTTTTTTTACCCCCCCAAATTAAAATATAGTATAAATAGTATTAAAATATATTATAGCAGACTTATAAAGGGCCCCGTATCTCAAATAGCTTAGAGCTTTATCTAGTCTAAATCCTGGCTCTACTGAGATCCAACACAGAAATAAGCCTTGAGAAATGTTCTCCCAATAATTAAAATCACTGCCATCACACATTACAACCAATCATATCACAATAGGGTCCAACCAATCACGTCATGATTGGGTTTCCGAAACATACACCGTAAGATACTCAGGTTACCATAAAAGAAACAACTTGGAGATAATCTAAAGGATACCTCCAATTATAGACTACCCTATATATATAATATATCAGAAAGCCCAGTGGTCATGCGAAATGACCGCAGTTCTAGGTATTATAAATTGTAATTAAAATGATTTGTACAAAGGTGTCTGCTAATTCAATCTGAATTAGTTTATTTACTGCACAAAATGAATTTTTGTTTAAAATGTAAAGTGTAAATACTTGATCCCACTCTGGCAAGAATACTAAATAACAAATATCCTCGTGAATGGATTCTGTGGAATAAAGATATAGTTATGGTTGTAAACCATTTAAAAAACAGATGATTGTCAATGCAAACAAATGTTCACATTTCCCCTGACACGCTCAATTTGCATTCAGCTGAAAATTCAGTTTAAAATACAAAAACAGTTTAATAATTTTAAAGGAAAATGCATTTATTGGCAACATTGTAATTTATATCTAGTTTTGGCAACAATAAAAGAAAATTCTGGACTTGGATTTGAAAACCAAATGTATGAGAAGCCATTCACTAGTACAGTTACGCAAGCAACCAATAAACTATCGGCGACAAACACTTGAGCCACATATATATATACTAGAAAGCCTGACGGTCATACGAAATGACCGCTGTTCTAGATATTATAAATTGCAATTAAAATAATTTGTGCAAAAGTGACTGCTAATTTAAACTGAATTACCCAGGGCAGGCGGTGAGTACACCCCTTTGCTTACTGCCCCACGGTGTTTCCCCCTTCTACTTGCTTAATTGCTTAAAGTAGAGTGCAGTGAAGGAAACAACTGGCAGTTCATTTCTTAAGAACCCACCGCTAGCTCAATCAATAATGAAATGTTAATTCACATATCAAAGATCTCTTTGTACACAACATTTCTTGTGTAGATCTTTCCATCATTTTTAAGCTCGCCTTGCAGAGGACCCTCCATTATTTTTAATTTTACGTTTATTTAAATTATTATTTTACGTTTGTTTAAATATATAATTATGCATACTTATACAAACTTTAATTTACAAGTACATTTTATGTTTCTAAAATAATATGCATGTACAGGATTTGGAGGTAATTATAAATTTAAATTAAGATT